ACTTGAGGCTTAATTCAGTCTTAATTGCACAACTATCGTAGTAAGGGTGATAGTACGAGCTAAGCCTGGTAACATCCACCGGTCGGCGAACACACCTACACGAAAAGATAAATCGCTCTCCCAAAACCCCAATTCAATTCCCGACCGTAACAGAATCCATCCCAATATAATAATAAACTTAATATTTTCTAGTGAGTGAAACATGGTAAGTATAAAAGAATCATCTTGACCAGATGGCTAGCTTCAAATTTCTGGGAGCTGCCAAGTTGATTGCATTCAGGGCTTCATTACATGCTAGAGTTGTATCAATCAAATTTTGCCTAAACCTTATACCGCGTATATTTATTAAAAAATTATTATTCTTAATATTTGTTCAAAAATTCCTTTATCGGTTGCTGGCATGGTTTCTATAGTATCAAATCTAGTATGAATACTCGATCTACTTAATTCACTTTCTCTGGATACTTCAGGTATAGTCTCTGGCTCACTTGAAGAACTTCATGGGGTATAACTGAATGAATTCTTGGATGATTGTCTTGTCATGCCATAATAATTAGTGACTATAACCTAATATCTGATCATTTTAATATTAACATTAATATATTAAATGTATAATGTTTGACAATAACAGAATTTTGTGCGTTATGTCTATTCTGGTCTAATTACTATTATTGCTATTCACAGGACTGTTTTTAGCTACCACTATTACTTATACTATTTTCTGGGATTACTGCAAGTCTATCCAGCTTGTAAAGCGTCTTTACATTCACTGACGGCTTTAAGCATTGGTCTCATTAATACCTCGAAATTTCTCACAAAACCATTATCGTCTATTTCCAGTTCGTATAGCAGATAGGGTCAACGCAGCTCAAGCTTTTTTAATTACAGCAAGTTTTTCATGCCTTTCCGCCAGTACATCAATTCTGGTAAGTACGCGTATATCTTTATCCATCGGTCATTAGCATGTTATAGATACCAATAACAAAGTTGAATGTTTGTGGTCCATAACCATGCTTCACTTACTGCTGATATCTCTCCTGAATCTTTATCCAGTAGAACAAAATTGGCATTAACCCTTCTTGTCAGAGACTGATGAAGAAACTCTCTAGTGCTGCAACTCGGGTTTGAGTTTCATGTTGAAGTTATATGCAATAGGCATACCATATCGTCCATAATCAGCATTTACAGCAAACAGTTCAAACCGTTTTTGATTTGTTTTAATACCAATCTTTTCCCATAATGAGTGTTATAAATCCCAGGCACGTATGAAGTCATTTTCTATATAATCAATTACCTTGAAACATTTTCAGGTTGTTGAAGATACATCTTTGCAGAGAGTAATTTGATTTTCTTGATTCATAATGCAAGTATCTTTTATCCAGTAGTAAACTTGCTCCTTAGTGTTGTCAAGCCTAGGTCTAAAAGGTAACGTGATTTCCGCTCAGTGGTACAGCAAATATTTGGCCAAGTCGATAATTCGTGGCGGGATTTTTTCGGCAGGAAGAAAAAAAAAGAATATTTTTTTTCCTTGAAAAAATTGAAGAAGAATACAACCGATATAAATGTTGGCCGAACAAAGAAAACATTTTCGTTACACAAGCGACGACCGCATGGGACAGATTTGGTGATAGAAATATAGAAATCTAAGATGGCCCGATATATCGAAATATGGTGTCAGTTTAATTACGCGGTTAATATTTCCCGATATATCGAAATTTGGTGTCAAAATAATGAAACGGTAGTTAGACATTTAGACATACAGTATAAGCAGTCATAATTTCCCTCAGTAAAAAAAAAACTTCAGCATCTTTGGCATATTTGGTTCTATTTGTCCTTATAATTCTTGTAATTATGCATTTAAACATCATGTGAACAAACAGACTGCATTTATTTCATAATCATATGATTGTACTAGTAGTATATTACTAACAAGCGACAACCTTTTTTTCCCTTTCGTTTACTCCCAAACAAGACTAAGGCAAGGCATTCTTCAAGGTGAAAAAAAGACATATATAATAACGAATATGTATATCATGATTGACAACCTAACCTATTGTACATTTACCCATATGCCACCCGTACCCTTAAATCTTCTCAGTGGCGGAAAATTTCCCCTGATACTGCATTTGACCGTTTTTATCCGACTTGTCGTCTTTATCGGAGCGTTTAATCCCATCGACTATAATCATACCACGACCTTTTTTGGCCTGTTTGCCTCTAACAGGCTGATACTTATAGTTTGGATATTTGATCGCATGCTGCATTTTGACAATTTCATATAGAGCATGCCAGAAATTTTTCTCTTCCTGCGGAAGGTTCCGCCAACTCTCAGCGGCGATCCGAGAAGATTCGGCTACCGACAATGCGTTTCCTTCTCTTGCGAACCTGGCCCTTATGTCTTTGCGATACAACATGAAACAATTCTGGGGACGCGGGACGCCCTTTGATCTCTTTTTTTCTGCGGGGTACAGGAGTTCTCTAAACCCCATTGTAGTGTGGATATTGGGGTAGACTCGTCGGACTTCTTCTATTACTTCTTCAACTTGTTGACAATCCGAGGTGGAGTCGGATGATTGGCTGCTCGTATCGGGTCGGATTTCGATGTGTTCTGGCATCGTCGTCGGAGTGGGCTACTTACTGTGGACCAAATATAAGAGGGAACGGTTAGTTTACGTTGAATTAACGATAGTTATACGATAAGCTAAGACAATAAGTTTGTTGAAAGGAACAGTAAGCTCGGATAGGGTGGGGTGCCAGAGGGGTGTCAGGGTAGGTGTCAGAGAGAAAATAAACAGAAACATAATATCGTGCACATACATACCGCTTAAGAAAAGGGAGGAGGGTGGATTATTTTATTTTTTTTTTTGTCGTTATATGTTAGCTGACCGAAAGCGTCTCACTGTAAATAACAAAGAGGGGTGGGGGTGTGTTAATATACTGTGAACCTTATTATACAGCTTTTCACTCTGCTTTTCTCATAAATTCGAGACAAACAATAGCTCAAGAACAAACGACAGCAGACTGTAATAAACTTGGCTCCCTATTTACCTGGCGCATTGTTATCGATAAAGCGGAGTTTTGTTCTCAGTGTGCCTTTATGTATGCGGGGGTAACACAGGAGAGTGGTGATGGTAAGAACAAAGAACAAATCTGTTTGTGGCAATTGTTGCATTGATGCCATATTTAAACCGTATTGTTTACCATAAGTTGATTCTTTGTGGATAAAGTTACCGACATTTTCTTGGATTGAATGGTTTTACGGCCGTGATGAGTTTTAGGTACGACGACCAATTTGGAAACCTGTTAAAATCTTATTGGCGGAGATGGGGTGTGATTGGGAAAGAATAATTATTGCGGC